CGCTGTGTGTGTCCCTGGGGCAGGCCGGCAAGGACTGGAGGGCACGGCGGCCTGCGGGTCTTGGTGTGGGCAGCGCCTGGAGACCCTCCTGCTTGGGCGCAAAAGCTGTGGGGTGGGTGTTTCTGACCCCGTTCTTTCCCGTTACGTTTCACAGGCAAAGTGCTGAAGTCTGCACAAAGACTTCGAAGTTTTGCCGTATCTTCTTGCCCCTGTTTTTTGACCTACTTCTTAGTCCTGCCATAGAAAACAGGTCCACATTCTTGGTTCACTACGACAAGCAAGTCTAACGTGCTGCAGCACTTTGAGGAGCTCTGTTCTGCTTTTTAACCCATTCCAGCCTTATTTCCTATGTTAAAGCAAGCAACACTGCCGAGACCCCTGTTCTCTTAAAGTGCGGTCATATTTTTAATACATTAACTGTAAAAGGGGAGTCAATATCTGTACTTGTGCTCTGGAAGCATTATGATGGTGTGTTATTGGTTAAAGAAGACAGACTGCTGTACATCAAAAGTCAAATACAATCATGTTCAGTGCCAAACCCTTAAAAGACACAAGTTTCTAAAAATGGGTGGTGCAAAAGTACAGTGTTATAGTAAGATCTCTAATATTGTGAAGGACTGGTAAGTTTTTGGTTCTGGGAGGAAAAAAGGTGGTATTCTTATAAATACTCTATATTAAAAATCTGTTGACATTTGGAAAAAAACTTCAGCATCAATTTTGCTGAAAAACAGAAAAATATTAAGAAGTTTGTTAAACAAAAAAAAGAAGATTAAATTCCTACAGCAGGAGATACTGGTTTTGACTGTTTCTGTGTTGGTCCAGGAGAAGCTGGCCTTAATTTTGACACCAAAAACAGGGTCAGATACAAAAATTCTGCACAAGCAAGTAAATTCAGCATTTCCCTGCCCCAAATAAAGGAAGATGGAAGAACAGTTCTAATGAAAATTTAAAAAAAAAACTTTCAACGGATGTCTTCTGCAGTTATCAAATCAACAGAACATGAATTTCCAATGAGAATAAACAAACAACACGCTTGTATTATGTAATCCTAGTTAAGTATCAGACCAAGAGCCATTCTTTCATAGTATTTGTATTAGGCTAATGTTGCAAACAGCTTTGTATTGTAAATCATCCTATTAGAACTTTGCACTCTCAAATGTGTAATTTTCTGTGCTTTCTTCCTGTCAAATATTTCTGAATTGTGGTGAAATGAAAATGTATATTGTTTTTCCCTTTCAAAACAGCAATAACATGCAGAAAAAGAAGAAAGGTGAAAAATCTTCCAAGCATAACACAGAGAAGTAGTAAGGACCGTGATTTACAAATTTGGTGCTTTTACAGATAGGAGTATTTAAAATTAATTTTTACATCATTAGTGAATGTATTCAAAGTCAGGTGTGGTAAGACAGAGAGCAGGAGTAATTCTGTAGCAATGATGAACTGAAATGACCTATGTGGGGAAGTTGATACGCTTTCTTAAATGCAGGTGGGAAATACCCCAAACTTTTGAATTTACCAGGTTTTTTTTCAAGGATTTTGAGAGAAAGACCTGAAAAACCCGGTTCGCCCAAGTTTTCTGTGATTTTTTTTCAAATGTATCAAGTGTCAGCCTAATAATGCATGTAATCTCTTGCACCGAACCTCCAGTCACATGCAGATAGACATAGTAAGAGTATCTGCATCTCAGGAAATTAATAAATTTTTCTCTCTCTTCCAAGATCTTTTTCCAAGGCATGAGTGATGGTCGGTTAGGGGAGGCATTCACACCAACTCAGATTTACTTCAGCTAATCTGAGCTTGTCCGGTTTGTGGTGCTTCAGTGAAAAGAAATGTTGTGTCATTTCTGGAAGCAGCGGAAGATTTTGTAGCTATTTAAAGGCACCAGTGGTTTGGTGAGGCCAGGTGCCCTCGAGGGCTCTACTGTAAACTGAGGCAAGTTGTTTGGAGTCTGTCTGCTTTGCAACAGCTGGCAGATCATCAGTAGCTCAGCAGAAGACCTTTGAGGTAGACCCAGCTTTCTATGTGGGGTCTTGTTTTGGTATCAGAGATGGAGCGGGTGGTTTGGGCAGCATGTGCAGGCTCCTCTGCTTCACGTGGTTCAGTTCTTTGAACTCCTGCTTTCCCAGCTACCTCTTTTTTGGGTCGGGGAAAGACACAGGTAGCACCCAGCAGCAGAATTCGGAGCTGCCACCTGATTAACCAAACCTGTCAAAGGAGAGTGCCAAATTCAGGAGCTGCCTTTGGCAGCTGCAGAGGCAGCACCGTCTTGTGTTAGATCACAGCGACTGATGGGCTTGAGCATGTGTACAAGTGAACGTGCTGCTAATTGCTAGCACAGTCCCCGGAACTGTTTTGGCCCTGGCCAATTAGCACCGTCCACAACAATGTCTGAGCGCAGTCTGGGAACTGGCCTGGGCCTGGGACTGTTCCTGATAAGCCGTGTGGATGAGGCCGTGTAAGCTGTGCTGCATCAGGGGTACAAAAGGGTCTTTGGACTGTTTATTTACTAATATAAATGTAACCATAGCATTTGTTGCTGAAGTATTATTGTATAGTAGTCACAAACACATGAGAGACTATTTCAAGACAAATAACCGTAGCTCTCCAGAGACAGCATGTGTGGCAATTCCAAGTACACAGTTTACCGTGAAATTAATGTGCACCAACAGTCTCTCGCAGTCCGGTGCCTGAGAAAGGGAGAGATACGAATTTTTCTGTCTCCCACTATTTTCCTCAAGTTTAGAAGTAGACCTGTAAGATACTCCTACATAGGTTTATGTTGAATGTATACTGTTTTATCTGATTGGCATAAATTTGTGGAAATGTATTCACACATGTAGTACAACACCTTTTTAAATCGTCATGTCTTAGGTTAAACCAATGAATTTATGTGCATAACAGTCTTAGAAAATGAAGTGTTAAATGCTATATTCCCCAAATTAATTCAATGCATCAACTTTTGAGGTGATTGCAGAAGAATCAATTGTAAGTCCATAATTTCATGAAGGCTTAAACTTTTCATTCATAATTCTGGCTGCAAGCTGGTCTTCTGTCACTGATGTACTGTGAAACATTGTCCCTCAAGACTGAAACAGTTCATGTGCCAGCACTTATTGTGCTGTACAGTATGCTCACAGATCCTATTGTCTCACTCTATGAGAAACCTTATTAGCTTAACTGTGCAGAGTTAGAGTCATATTTTCTCTTCACATATGTGAGCTGCACACATTGTGAGAACTGGAGAGGAAAATCTAACCTTTTACTTTTTTCCTGCAAACATGAGGTTGCACAGCTTTACTCTTTGGCCAAGCAGATCGATTCTGGTACAAATAATTTCATAGTCTTGAATAAACCACAGTTAGCCGTGACAAGCAGAATTCTAGAGCTATTCCTTAACGTATTGTTGCTTTGAATTGGTTTGTTTTCTTCTGGGTGGTGTAGTGGAAGTATATAGGAAACAATAGCATCAGTCTTAAAGATCTTGACAGTCTAATGCGTCGAAGAACTGATAGAAAAGGGGTACAACATACAAGCAAACTGATTATACTGGCTGCCTGTATTGCCAGTTCCATTTTGTTTGTTGGTTGTATTGCTTTTACATACAGAAGCTGTGATTTCAATGTTGGATAGCTCTCAGATTCTGACCCTTCAGATGTCTTATGCATGACAGCTTAACATACACCAAGTAATTCACATTAATTAACTTTTATAGGACTGGAACTTAATTTTCAAATACTAAATTTTAGTTTGAAAATTTAATCTTTGTAAGAGCTTACTCTAAGTAGTGACTCTTTTGGCTCCATTCTATCCAAAATAATTTATTTTGCTGATGAAATATCAGCTGCAGTTATGCTTGCGGGTTTTTTGAGCATTTGCAGTGGGACAAAGACTGTTCTTCTTACATTGTCCTTTGCAAACCTTACTGTGCTTCAGGTCTCAGGATAAATTTAAAGGCAGAATTTGTCCCAAATGTCAATTTCTGCATTAGAAGATGAGTTAGTGTAAGAACATGGTGTTTTGGGATTTTAGTATTTATTTACATTCTCTATATGGCAGCCAGGTTGGTACGGAAGCTGACAATATTTTCAAAGTCTGTTTCATTGCATATGAAATTTAAAGTGCAGTTGGAGCTGTCTGGATTTAATCCCCCCCCCCCCCCCCCTT